GCTGCAACTGGGGGAGAAGGCTTAAAAACTCACTCCCATGGTTACTGACAAGATTTAACTCTTCCCATCTCATTGGACTAAGGTCTTTGTTTCTCCTTCACTGTTGGCCAGCAGTTTGCCTGTTTCCTGCCACACCAGCTCCTCGTGGGAAAGTGCACAACAGGTCAGCTTGCGTTCCCTCCAACGAACTAGTGAGGGAGGGAGAATGGCAACAGGTTGGAAGGCACAGTCCTTTTGTAGCATTATCAGAAAATACTATTCTATCACTGTTGCCATACCCTTTGTTTTTATCAAGTGAGTCTCCAGGTCTGACTCACATACAGTTGGAGGGGATTACACAAAAGCGTGAATACCAGCGGGTGGGGATCTTTTGGAGCCATCTTAGAAACTTCCCACATCAAACGTGATGCTTCAGAGCTCTAAATTTAGTCGCTATGTTGTGACTTTGCCTAATGTTATGTATTGTCTAGAATTTAAGACTCATAACATATATTCAAGCGTTTCTCTAATATTGTATCAATCAGCTTCCTGCCTATTGCAGGTTCATATTAGGCACCTGTGGTAGATGGAATAATGCCACTCTGTCTCCTCCTATCCCCCTGGAAAAATGTCTACATCCTAATCTCCTTAACCTTTGAGTGTTACCTTATATTGTAAAATGAAACTTGCAAGTATTAAGGATTTGGGGATGGAAGTGTATCCTATATTATCTGAGTGAATCCAGTGTAATCACAAAGGTTATTGTAAAAGGGAGCCAGGAGGAATAAAGTGGAGGAGACGTGATGCTGAACCAAGAAATTGAAGTGATAGAAGGAAGGGACTGCTAGCCAAGGAATGCAGGTAGCCTCCAGAAAATGAAAAAGATATGACTTTAATTATACCTTATAATAATTATACTTGGGAGAACTAAAGTGAGTAGCTTGAAAAACAAGAGACTTAGACACCATTCCAATTAAATACTTACCAAAGCATGACTTAAAAAACACCAGTGAAAAACACGAGCTTTGAGCTTTCCAATGACTGACTGATGTAGTAGGTACTGAAAGAGTTCAAAGTTCCTTTTAAATCTAAGAATTTATGACATCATGATTTTTAAATTAATAGATTGTAAATAAAAATTTTCTATAATATCTTTTAAAATATAAGTATTAGGTCAGCTGCACATGTATCTAAATTTAAAAATATATGCACACATTTTACAGAATTATGTGCTATAAACAAATCAGTTCAATAAAGTACACTTCAATAATCAAATTCTGCTTTAGAGAAAGGTAAAACATATTTTAGCATTTCCTGTTATTTTGTAATTCACTAAGGAAAAAGAGATTGACTGAAGTATATGTTTAAATTTTATCCATATGCAAATGTAATTTAATACATTTTAGAAAATCTGCTAAAAATACTTCTGCAGCTTTAGATAAATTCACTGAGGTTCTTGAAATACGTGTTTCGTATGCTCCTGTAATTTTATCTTAAAAGACTCTGATGACTATTTTCCATGTTTAGAACTCCATATTGTTTACACTGCTCTTTTCTGAAGCAAATTGTATTTATTTAAAGACTTGTAGTGTGCATTACTTAGTTTTATATTCTAAAGTCTTTAGATATTAATAGAATTTCACTTTCAACATATTCCAAGAATTCATAAAATAGACTTCTTTGGTACAAAACTTAAGGGACATCTAAAGGAAATTTGGAAAAAACAAATTTCCTAACAATTTCTAATATCAAGAGTCAATCATGAAATGTCTTCATAAATTAAAAATGTTTATAATAAAGCATCAAATATGACATTTGTTTGATTATGGCTTATACTTAGTAACTAATCTTTTCTTTGATTTACAGAAATATATAAATATTTTCCAAGAAATCTACCTTTAGAACTCTAAGGTTATTTATGGTGAACTGGCAGCTTACAATTAAATAGAGAAAAAGGTTTATAATGTTCTGATGTTTTTGCAATACCATATAGAATAATAAGGCAGATTTCTTTCCGCCCTCTGCATTTTGATTCATGATTTGAATTTTTATAAGAAAGTAGCTGGTAGTTGGGACTCAAAAAGAAGAGACAGAATTGCACCAAGAAGAAATAAATTTTAAAACCCATATACTGAGGAACACTTGAGTAAAGTGTATGCACGTGTATGTGTGTGTGCGTGTTTCAAAGTTAGAGGATGATGAATAATTTAGAGGAGAAAGATGGCGATAATTATAACAAGTCAAAACAGTTGTTTCCCTATTTGGGTGAGGCAGTAAAAAGCAAATGAACTTTTAGGCTTTTTTTTTTTTTTTTTGGCCTTCCCACGTAGCATGTGGGAATCTCAATTTCTTGACCAGGATAGAAACCATGCCCCTGCAGTGGAAGCATGGATTCCTAACCATTGGACTGCTGGGAATTACCTGATGTTGGGTTTTTTCTAATTTAATTTTACAGTAAGCATTGCCAAGATTTAGTTCTTTAACTATCCAGCGATGGAAGCCCAATCTTATATGTGGGTTAACACACGAAGTATGATTCTTAGAACAAGGCAATACCACACTTCCTACTACATATCCAGAAGATGAGACATTGTCTATTTTTGGAAACCATCTTAGAACATAACCTGGGCTTCATCAGATTCTTCCTTATATCTGAAGGGAGAGATGCAAAAATATAGGTACAGCTAAGGGCTTTTCATGGAAAGTGGTAGCAGAATCTAGAGTCCATCAATGACAGTGGTAGGAATGCAGGGGCTGTGATGCCTGGGGTATCAACATCACCAGCTGAACGCCTGAAGGAATCATTGATTATGCTCTCTGTAACTAAGATACATGCAGTTTCTTTCTTTCCAGGCTTCCTTCTAAATCTTCAAAATGCCTGTCATAATTCTGATAAATTGCTTCTCTGCTTATGTGAATCAATTCCTGTTGTTTATGACAAAAGAACTTTAACTAATATTTAAATTTGACCCAGAAATATATGACAGATAGCAAATCCTTAGGGAAATGGAAGAAATATGTGATTCGTTTGAGCCTAGATGGGTCTGAAGACCATGAAAACTCCATTAGTATTCCAGGATAGGAACTTGATACCACATGGTATACAGTGATAGTTCAGCTAATTAAAGACCCTGTAATCCCTGAGTATCAAGGAGCCATTGACCCAAGCCAAGGAAGGCTTTGGGTCTAATGAGACATAGACTTTTTTTTAAGACAGGACAACAGGTATTATGAATTCAAGTCTATAGTGTTATGACTTCTTGTACTGGGACTGAAAAAGTAAATTAAATGAAATTATGATCAAATTCCTAAATTCTTAGTTCAAAATGTGGTAGATTGCAATAATGGACACCAATGATTCCTCTCATCTTTGTATGCTCATGCTGCTTCACTCGTGAAGAGGTGGGGTCATTTCTTTTATTTTTTCTCCTTTATTCTAGGCTGATTTTGTAACTAGCTTTGACCTACAGAATGAACTGCAAGTGATATATTAAGTGTGCAATATAAGGTTTGGCTTAGAAGGGCATAGTCGCTTCCTCTTTTGAGATTCAGCTCTATGGCAAAATAGCGTGAGTCAGACCTTTGAATGAAGACAGAACTCACAGAGCCGAGAGGCTCAGCCAATCCCCAGCAATACTAACCACTCCGGTCAAGGCTCCAAAAACATGAGTGAAGCCATCTTGGATCCTTCAGCTCTGGTTACAGCTCCAGCCAACACCGTGCAGGAAAGAGACATATCATCAGTGGGAGGCTGAATAGCAATGTTCTAAAGATATCTACAATCTAATCCCTGGAACCTGTAAACAACATTTTACATGGCAAAAAGACTTTATAAATATGATTAAATCAAATCATTTCTTGGGAGTGAAAGTGAAAATCACTTTGTCATATCCGATTGTTTGAGACCCCATGGACTATACAGTTCATGTACATGGATTCTCCAAGCTAGAATACTGGAGTGGGTAGCCTTTCCCTTCTCCAGGGGATCTTCCCAACCCAGGGGTCAAACCCAGGTCTCCCTCATTGCAGGCGGATTCTTTACCAGCTGAGCCACAAGGAAAGCCCAAGAATACTGGAGTGGGTTGCCTATCCCTTCTCCAGTGGATCTTCCTGACCCAGGAATTGAACCAGGGTCTCCTGCATTGCAGGCAGATTCTTTACCAACTGAGCTATCAGGGAAGCCCTTGGGAGTGAAAGATTATCTTGAATTACCTGCTGGACCCAAAATGCAATCCAGGATCTTAAAGAGGGAGACAAAAAAGGTTAAAGACATAGTATTAAGAGATGTCACAGTGGAAACAGGAGGCTGGAGTGATAAAGGAAATGGGTCATGAGTCAATCAATGAAAGCAGGGGGTCTGCAAGTTTAGAAAGGCAGAGACAAATCCTCCCAGCAAAATCTCCAGAAGAAATCAGCCATGATGAGTTGGCACTTCAGCTCAGGGAAATTAAACTGTAAGAAAATTTGCATTGCTTTAAGATATGTAGGTTTTGTAATTTGTTACAGCAATGAAAGGCAACTAGTACAACATCACTGTTGAGCCCTCCCTAAATCACGTGGCTTCCCAGGTGGTGCAGTTGGTAAAGACTCTACCTGTTCAATGCAGGAGACACAAGAGACGTCGGCTCGATCCTTGGGTCAGGAAGATCCCCTGCAAGAGGAAATGGCAACCCATTCCAGTATTCTTGCCTAGAAAATCCCATGGATGGAGAAGCCTGACTGGCTACAGTCCATGGGGTCACAAAGAGTGGAACAGTGAGAAGTAATGAAGAGTTATGACACTAAACTTAGAAGTTGTTGTTAGGAAATAATAAATAAGTGGAATAGAATGTTAGTGGAAAATCAAGGCTCCTTAAGTTGTGTTAAAAGAAACTGCCAGTTACAGGCTCAAGGATTCATGTAAATTTTTTTATTCTATGGATTTATACTTTCAATTGATTTCAGAGTTACCAAGCTTTTTATGCAAAATTTAGTACCCTGTCAGGCAAGAGAACTTTGAGAACTAGAATAGATATTTAAAGGAAGATTTGGAGACTCCAAATGCAAGAAGCACAGCATTCATTGAGCCTCCTTTGGTTGCCAAAGCAACCTAGCCTCACTTTTCAGGGCAGGCAGAGGTTCCCTCACCTGGAAGAGTTACTGTGAAAAGCTTCCTAGAATAAAAACTTAAGCCAGATCCAGCACAACAAAGTCAATCCAGAAAGAGATATTTACAGCAAAACAATTTCACAGATTTGTCATAAAAAGTTATAATTTATGCATTCTATCAGGAAAATATTTCTGAAAGTATATGAACAAGAAGAAAAAAATGTAGTTTTATATTGAATTCTCTGATAATGCTGCACTTACCAAATTATTGCTTCTTCCTGTCTCCTGTGCCATTGCCGTCAAGGGTTTTATCGTTATATAGTATACATACTCATAATGACTTATTATTTTTCCATTAGATGATTATTTTTTAAATTGATTAAAAATAATTTTGAAGTCTTTTACATTTGCCTTCACTTTAAGCGTGTTTATAGTCTGTCATCTTTGTTTTGCGTGCCTATACAAATTTCTTTCAGGTATATTTCTTCTATTTGATAAACTTTGTTATTTCTTGTAGTTCAGGCGCTGGTAATGAATTCTCTTCTTTGACTTCTGTGAAAAAGTCTTTGTTTCACATTTTCTTATGAAAGGAAACTCGACCTTCATCCTTCAGTACCAAGGTTACTTCGTCTTGATCGGAGCTATAATTAGTCCAGAGAAACAATGACGGTTACTCATGCCTTTAAACTACTGACATCATCCTAACAGAACTGAGAGTAAAGGAAATAGCATGTTACCTGAGACATCTGCATATCAAAAGGTGGTAGATAAGTCATATGCATATAAAGGAGACTATTATCTCAGTTTAGCCTCTGGGGGCCCAGCGATCTGGAACTTGTCAGAATACCCAGGACACTGCGCATACTCATCACTAATAAAGGACAAAAAAAGAAAACATACTCTTGATTTTTCTTAACTTTGATGATCATGTGATATATATATGCATCTGGTTTACTTCCAGTTTACATTAGGGCTTGGAATAAGGGAAGAATTTCCACATTCAGATTGCAGAAAAAGCAGCTCTACCTTTTTACATCCTTATGATTCAACTCATAAAATTATGGTCCAAGAATTGTAGCTGACCTTATGTTGTAAGAGACCATAGGAATGACATCAGAGGACCCTGGGCTGTCGGAGCAAAGTAATGTTTCATAAGCAACTATTTTCTTTTGAGAAATGGCTCTTGGCTACAAATTGAGCATGAAGAGAGGCAGATCTCTGGACCAGGGACACCAAGTAACCATACAAAGTAAGCTGGCCGTAATATACATGATGATATATCTGTCCAGCCCAAACACTGAACTTGCCCAGCAATAATTCACAATTAAAAGAAGTATCAGAGACCAGACATAAGCTGGTTCTGAGACCACACACATTTAGTAAACAAACTGCATTCACTCCTGACATGCCCTCTCTCGCCATACTAACATCGAAGCTTTCTCCCATAAAATACACTTCTGGAGAGTTCTCCAGTATCATATGACTGAGAAGAAAGAAACCTGAGTATTATGTGTGATAGAAATAAAATGAAAAATTTAATAAGATGGTATACTCTGATTTAAAACATCTACAAATAAGTTACACTAGAAGATTGAGTCATCAATTCAAACATTTCTTTCAAAAGGCAGAATTTTGAGTTGTATATCTGATCCTCTGTTTCTCCTAGAAGTGGCTTATGGCGAACCTCTGCATCAGTGTGTTGGCAGAGGTGAAGGTCTGGCCACATAGCAAGGAGGCTGTAAGAAATACAGTGAGAGGACTAGTACCAAATTTCGTCTGGCTGGGATGTTTCATTTAAGATTGTGATACGGAAGACAGTATGATGGATGCCTGAGACTGTTACCCTGAATGTTGGGAAATGTATGATAAAGGTGGAAAATGAAGAGGAAAGAAAAAGAATATGAATGATAAAAAGAGGATTCTCTTTTATTGTCATATTCTATGATCATAACAAGTGTTAAAATTTAATAAAAGCCTCTATTGCACTGTAGAAAAAGCTTTACCAAGGGCTCAGATCATTGGGAATGAAGTTTTATCACATCTCTAAGCTGAAATTCCTGTCTGGTAAGGACAGAGAAGCATAAAAACAGTGCTCAAAAGAAGAAAGTGATAAACACCATCTATAGATGTTGTTGTTCAGTTACTAAATTGTGTCTGACTTTTTGCAACTCCATGGACTGTAGGATGTCAGGCACCTCTGTCCTCCACCGTCTTCTGGATTTTGTTCAATTCATGTCCATTGAGTCAGTGATGCTATTTAACCATCTCATTCTCTGCCATCCCCTATGAACCTACTTCAAGTTAGTTAAATAAAGTGTGGACTTCTCAGGTGGCACAATGGTAAAACTCTGCCTGCCAATGAAGGAGACACAAAAGATGCAAGGTTCATCCCTGGGTTGGGAAGACCCCCTGGAGTAGGAAATGGCAACCCACTCCAGTACTCTTGCCTGGAAAATTCCAAGGACAAAGGAGCCTGACTGGTTACAGCCCATGGGGTCGCAGAGAGTCAGACAAGACTGAACACAAACAGGGTATATAAGTTTTCTAACACTGCTCTAACAAATTGAGACAAATCAATGGTTCACATAGTTTCTATTTTTCTTCTATTAATTTACTGTTTTTAATGCTAATTCATTCATTTACTTATTCACTTTTATAAAAGTATTTCTCAGGTGATCCTGTATGCCAGAGACTATGTTAGTTTCATTCCTTTATATTAATTATAATATAATAATCATCGATAATAAGTTTATGCTTATAAATATTAACAAAAACCAGTGCTGATATATATTAGCCATTATCTAGCTCAGTGGTTTTCAACTAAGGCAACTTTGCCACCATCACTCTCTTCCTTCCAAAGAGGATTTGACAACATATGGAGTGATTTTTGTCCTGACTTTGGTTGGGGGGGATTCTACTGGAATCTAGTGGGAAGAGGCCAAAGATTTTTCTAAACATCCTAGAATGCACAGTACAATTCCCCACAACAAAGAATTATTCAGCCTGAAATATCAACAGTGCCAAGGTTGAGAAACCCTGATCTGCCTGTGCATTTTCAAAATGTATGCATTATACAACAAACCTAAAGCATATTTTTCTTGGACATGTACTTATGGTTTTGCTTGTCAACCAGTGGCAGCAATTTAATAGGAACCATTGAAAAACCTGCTATTCTCAGATGTTAAAATTTTCAGAATTTTTTTTAAAGTACAGGTGAAGATAACTGATTTATATATGTATGTGTGTGTGTATGCAGATGTTTATTTTTTGTAAATGTCAAATATCATAGTCATCAGGGCTGAATCCATAGTATAAACAATGGCCTATTCTACTTTGAAGCATGGTTTTGCACTAAAAAATATGAAAATTTCATGCTGTAGCACTATAAGATTGCCTATTGAAGAAGCAACCTTCAAAAGTTACTGACTACTTCAAGTAGTAACTCAGGTAATATAACCCAGACGTGGGACATGAGGAAGCCTCTAAAATTCTCTACAAAAAAGTATCATACTCTAACCTCAGTAATGCATTGTAGCATATAGCAGAGCGAGTATACTTTCAAAGCAACCTTAAGACCCAAAATACCTCATTTCTTAGTTTAATTATATTGTCTCTTGTTCTGTGTTCAGTGTAGAAGAAAAGTAGCTGGTGCCTGTCTTCTGGAAAAAATATTCTCTTACTCTTAAGTTTTATTATTAAAAACACCTCAAAAACTTCTTTTCTTTAAAATCCTGCACTTTCTCAAGGCACCTTGAAGTTTGATACATTATATATCTGAAGATTTGAGCTAGAGTTGATGTGTAAGAAAGTGCTTCAGGTATTAAACCATCTGCCTGATCACTAAAGAGCCATCTCCTTAATTGAAATAATCTCTTTTATTTTTAAAAGTTAAACCCTCCAAAACGGAACCATCTCCTAAGTCAAGAACATTCCCTGAAGATGTTTCTAGTGGAATTGAAGCACTATTTCCTATACCATACTTCTAGTAAAGATACGCATAAAGCATAAGCAATAACCTGTAATAGAATGTCAGTGGAAGTTTTCATCACAGTAGGTACAGCAAAAAACTGTAACACATTCAAATATATATAGACAATTTAAATCAAATTGACTAGCATTTGGATATAATCAGTCATGGGCATGAAACGCTTTTTAATCAGGTAATGACTTCATTAAACATGGTTAATCACACACCACCTTGAACTCATTTTCTAAATATAGAATTAATTATTTAAATTACAGAAATTAAAGCACACCAGTCAATGGCTGGATTCATTTTTAAAACTACAAGCTTGCCAAAAAAATCTAGTCATCATTTGCACGAGTTGGAGCATGTGTTGAGTATCTGATAATTTAAGAAAATCAACTTCTGAATCAAAAAGTACTGTGGGAGTAAAATATAGGCAACCTGGGATAGTTAGTTCTTAGCCAAATCACATAACAGACTTACAGAATTAAATAAGGCATAGAGAATATAACTGAATCTTGAAAAAAACAGTTCACTTAGTATTTACTTATAATTTATCATTCTTTTTTCAAATATGGTATTTGTTTCATCATAGGATAATAATCAATTCAGATAGTAGAACTACATTTTCCTTATTCCATACAAAATCAATAGATATGTAGAGAACATTTCCTCAATGCACAGTACACCAGATAAACAAATGATGCACAACTTCCTTGGGAGATTTTGAATCTAGTTTAGAGTGCTAGATATAAAATAAGGAAAGCTACAGATAGTATACACTAAACACAGTCAATTGAAGAGGCTGTGGGTCTTTCCGTTATGAGGCATATACTTGGAAAGCATAGTTCCTTGTAGGTCGGCTGAAGAAATTCAATTGGATTCTGTTTCACTGCATTCTCTACATGGTCATTCTTGACCACTTTAACACTGAGAAGAAGAGTTTATTTTCCTGACTATACTTATTCATGAACTCACAAAAAAGAGGTTTCATATGGTCCAATAAATATTTAGGAGATGGAATGGAGCATACTGCCTTAAATTCACTCTGTAAATTTAAGAGATTTCAGTTATAACAATTTAAGAAGAGTAGTTATTTTGCACTTTTTTTCATCATCTGGTGTATCACTTTATTATCTCATACTTAATATTCTGACTGCTAATGGATATTATAATATGTGTCCAGCAATGTAACAAATTTTTTTCAAACAGTTTAAAACTACTGGCATTATCTGCAAAGGCATCAAGGTACATAAATAATTTTACCCATTCTTTGAAATCTTTTACCTAAAGATTTCATGTAAAAAGAATTCTTGCAAACTCACAAAGTGTTTTGTTACATAATTTTTAATTTCCTTGCTTTCATTAGAGCAGTATTTTCTTTATTAAAATAATCAAATATGTAGACAAAAATAATCGTATTTACTTCTGAAGAAGTAATAACTCTTAGTTCAATTCAGTTCCGTCTCTCAGTCGTGTCCGACTGTTTGTGACCCCATAAACCACAGCACGCCAGGTCTCCCTGTCCATCACCAACTCCCGAAGTCCACCCAAACCCATGTCGATCGAGTCGGTGATGCCAACCAACCATCTCATCCTCTGTCGTCCCCTTCTCCTCCTGCCCTCAATCTTAACTCTTAGTAACATCATGTAAATATAATAATAAAATATATAACCCATTTCTAAGGAACATCTCCTTTTCATGTGCTATTGGTAATGTAAAACTGTTAGAAAAGTCAGCATGCCCTTTTTATTTATAGATATGAGCTATTCCCACACTGTGCTTTAAAATGAATAGCTGTTACTAAAGAGGTTAGGCAAAATAATAATAATAATAATTTTAACTTCATCCCATTTTTACCTTATAGCTCAACATCAGGCATGAATTTTCTTCTTCCCAGTGT